GAATGCAATGAAGCGAGACTACCAACTGTACTAGAGTTGAAGTTCAACTTTGAGTGGAACTTCACCATGACATAGTTCAAGCTTTTATCATACTACTAAATCACATCAGCCCTATACAGCAATCCAGGCTGTAAAAAATACCACCACCAGTGAATTTAACATCAAGCTACTTCACCTGCTACTTTTAACTAGTGTCTCATTGTTCAGCCTCGATTAGCTTTCAGACTATGGAAAGAGGCAATCCTTTGCACACACGGCATTTTCAGGAATCACCTTCAATCTATGAGATCCATTCCCACAAATGAAATCATCTTAAGCAAGAGGAGCTCCTCATGTGGAAAGTTTTCATAAGAAAAATATAACGGTACGTTACTAATGGGACAAAAGAGGAAGGGAATGTAACACAGACTTTGCTAGTACCTTTAAGAGTTACTTGGGAGATGATGGTTGAGCACAGATTACAAAAGCCTTTCTCTTTGACACTGGAGATCCAATATTTAATTGAGAATCTAGCTGCTACTGAGTCAAACCACTGATTTGGCAAACTTGCTTAGTTTCATTTGCAATTGCAAATTGCTGGTTACATCGTTAATGTCAGCTGGATCAAGTGCTCAAATCCAACTCTGTACATCATACTCTGGGTCATCTCAGCTTGACTACGAGCTCAAGCCTCAGTTCCAACTGAATTTTAAAATACTACCTATGAAAAAAGGCCAAGCTTTACTATGGATTGCGTATCATGTCATAACCCAGCGTCAACAAGAGATCAGAACATCCACTTCTGCAATATTGTTTTGAAGCCTCAAACCCCTCAGCAAGAAAAACCCCAAGTGCAGAATGGTTTGACTTGAGGTTAATGTGTGAATGCCTTTAAAACCTCTAGTTTTAAGGCCTTATTATGAGTTTTCCTTATTTGTATTAGCTTTCTGTGATACAGATTATATGGTGCATGTATGCATGCACATCCAAGATGGGATCCTTCAGTTCCTGTTCACTTTGCACTGAGAAAAAAAAAAGAGCACATATCTGTCTTCTTCCTCTTCTCCCTCCCTTGGACAGAAGGAGTGAAATGAAGACCACAAGCCATCCCAGAATCAGAATGAGGACTGAATAATTAGGAGACAAAAAAGGGGACAAAAAGAAGGGTTCAAGGGTAAAATTGTTTAGCATTAAGAATCATTTAAGATATTTATTACAGGAAAACAATGAGAACACTGCATTTCTTTCCAAAATGGTGGAGCCTCCTTCCCTGGAAATATTCAAAATCTACCTGAACACTTTTCTGTTTCACTTGTTCTGGGGAATGTGCTTTAGCAGGGGGTCAGATCAGGTGATCTCCAGAGGTCCCTTCCAACCCTACAGTTGTGATTCTGATCAGTGGAGGAAAAAAAAAAAAAAAATCAACGTCACTTTTTCCCCCTTCTCTTAGCACCCAAGCAAAGTGGGCTATAAAGGCCTGTTGTAACACAGTGAGCACATTTTTTCATGATTAAACATTCATTGTCTGGAATTCCTATCTGTGATGTTAAAAAGCAGCTCTTAACACACCTAAAAATACATTTTGCAAGAAGGCCCAGTCAAGCTATGTGCATCTTTGAAAATGTTTTTTTCCCCATACAAGCTTCTAGATTAAGGTCTCAAAATTAGTATTAACTACTCATACAGCCTGTTGCTTAACTTTGAAACATAGCAAATGGAAAACAGATAAATGGGTGGAAGTTCACCTCTAGTATACAACTTTGTTGCTTACAGTCAATAAAACATTTTCTTAGTATCACAAACTGACACCCATAATATTTAGTAAGAAAGTAGATATTTCTTCACATTCAACCAATTAACTTTTAAATTGCAGATAACAATGAAACAGTTAAAAAGAAGGATTAATGGAGCTCCAATGCAGAGGGTACTCAAACTCTCACAGGCAAAGTGTGGAATCAACCCACAGCAACCACTTCCTTCTGTGGCATCTCAAAAGAGAATACTCTTGCTTAGATGTAATTCTGTGGGAAGCAGCGACTTGCATGCCTGTCAGCTCACGCATCAGCTCTCCAAAAGAACAGTACACAGCCATTGTCTCTAAGACGAGCAGATGTATAAAATTACTTTGCAAACCAGAAAGACTGATTTTATGTATGCTAAGTCATAGATACCCACACCAAGATTAGCAGACAGTCCTCATGAGTGAATTTCACCAGATAATTCTCTAGTCAGTTCAATAAAGGAATTCCGGACTTACTTTTTGTAACATGCATGAAGCAATATCTGACCCAAATCTAGCTCACCCTTTTCCCAGAGAAGATGTAGCAATTCCACATACTCAGTCATCTCTTGCTATAGCTCATTTCAGCTACTATCTTCTGCAATACTAGAGTCTGCTACTTTGTTTTCCTTTTCTTAAGTGTTAGCACTCTCCCATCTAGCAACAAAGGGAAAAGGCCCTGGAGAAGCTCTAGGTTTTAAAACTGTCAAACTCATTTTTCAATCCATTGTTAGCAATGAGCATCTAAAAAAACTATGAAGTAATTCTTAATACAATTAAAAAAAAAAAAAAAAAAAAAAAAAAAAAAAAGAACTGCACTGCAATAACCTAGAAAACAAATATTTAATTTTACTTGGGCAGAAGACAAAGTCACAATACAAATACGATTGTGTCATGTCACACAAACTGTCTTAGCTTTCACAATGCATAGTCATAAATAGATCTATCACCTGGGTTACTTGTACAAATAGCATTATTGTTTGCTCAGTGCTGCCTACCTGCTAAAACCCCACTTAGAGCCTTTAAAAAAAAAAGGCAGGTTTTACTTTGTAACACCTGTCATCATTAACTTTTAGCACAGAACACTGTTCAGTCTTAAACGCAACAACAGAGAGCTGAAATAAAATATAGCTGCAACTGTTAACTATCTGGCCCATTCTACTACTACACAAGATGTTTCCTTGGTCTTTCTTATGACCCAGAACTTAGTTTTTGACTTGATGCTGTTCGAGTTTTAGCCTAACCTCTACTCTAAACTAGTACAATTTGCAGTATAATTTATTAACTACAATCATTCGTTCAGACTGCCTTTATCTGGCCATGCCACTGAAGTTAAGAAACAGTTGTTTGTGTTAAACATTTTATTAAAACCTCCAGGAGTGCTGTGAGCCCTTTCCAACTCATGATCAATAGATGTGTTCAACCACTATTTTGCAAAGGTTACATTTCAACATGCATGAGGCATGCAGTTTACAGAATCATAGGGGTTGGAAGTTCTTCTACACGTTAATACAGAATTTCCTGCATTTAAGTTCATTCAAGTTCAACAAATGAACAAACAAACAAACAAACAAACAAAAAAACCCTGAACTTGTTATCTTCTACTTCCTTTGCAAGATTTAATTCCAAGAGCATGTTGACCTTTGTTGCATCCCTACAAGCCCTGAGAAAGTTGCTATAATCTCCCCAGGTGGGCAGCCCTTTTTCCACATTTCATGGACTTTCTCCTTTCCTTTCATTTTATCCATGAGTTCCTTGCTCATCCAGCAGGCCTCTAGCCATGCCTCCCTGTATTTCTTACTCTAAAGGATGCACTGATCTTGAACATGAAATAAATGGTATTAAAGTGCCAACCATTCCTCCTGGGCCCTCTTACCTTCTAACACTCTAGTCCATGGGATACCTCCAAGTACATCTTTGAAAAAGTTGAAGTTGGCTCTCTTGAAGTTTAGGGCAGCAATTCTATTTACTGCTTTGTTTCTTCCACACGAAATCAGGAACTCCACCATCTTGCATCCTAAGCTTCCCCCAACCACCACAACACTGACCAGCCTTTCCTTGTTAGCAAAACCAAGCTCAAGTAGCACACCCCTCCTCATCAGTCCCTCCCACCACCTGTGTCAAAATTTATCAAAACATTGCAGGAACCACCTGGACCTCGTGTGCCTGGCCATCTGCAACAAATACCAGTATGGCTGAAGTCCCCCATGTGAGCCATTGCCAGGGATGGTGAGGCTACTACCAGACGTTTGTAAAAGGCCTCATCTGCTTCCTCCTCCTGATCAGGCAGCCTGTAGTACACGCAACAGTATCACCTATGTTAGCCTGCCCCTTAATTCCTACCCACAAGTTCTCCACCTGATCACCATTCCCCTCCAAGTTCTAGTTGCTGTCTTACGTAAGGAGCAACTCCCCCACCTTGTCAGCCTATCTTTCCTCAAGAGGAAATAACCATCCATTACAGCAACCCAGTTGTGTGAGCTGTCCCAAGATATCTCTGCTCCTTGCCCATGAAGAAAAAGTAACACGCACAATAAAAGAAAAGGAAAGTTGAACATTTGGGTAATATATATATTGAAGAACAACTATCTATACCGACAGCCTGTTGAAAGGCTTTATGGGAACACTGAGATATATTTCAAGTGCTTTATTTCAACTGCGTGCTCTTTATTGATAGTGTCCAACAGAATGAGTTAACTTTTATGAAAAACTGGATGAACTTATGACTGTTCTGTAAATTGAAATTGAAAATTTTAGATGAAAAATATCAAAAGGTCCCTTAGCATGTAGAGCCTTAAGGAAAACTCCATCAACAAAAGCCACAGTGAAGTTCAAAAGCAATTTTTTCCCCTTTCACAGGGTCCACAGTCTCAGGCACTGCTGTACCACAGATTCAAGCAGCATTCTCTTTTCAGAAAGCCTTACAAATTAAACAGAAGGCTTCAAACAGGTAATTTGTCATATCAGTACTGAATAGAATTCACTTATTGGCACCATCACATGAATTTGAAGTGTCAGCCTGAGTCTGCAACCTTTGTTTGCTTACGAGGTCTTCAGAGCTTGTGCAATCCAAGTAACTTGTGGTCTAAAATAAATACCAGTTCCCCAGAACTTCAACAGCTTCTGCACTATCACAACAACAACAAAAAATCCTCAAAAAAAAAAACCAAACAAATTAACAAATTCATGCTGTCATTTAAAATAAACTGATTGAATACAGGCTCACAAAAAAAGCAACGTGTAGCAAAGAAATTTTTAATTGTTTTATTTCAGAAACAAAAGAAAGGCAACATAATCCATTTACCAGAGATCATGAAAATTACAAAGTCTTGCATACTCCTTCCCAAGACTCATTAGTATTTTCTGTGTCAGCAAAACAAATTCCCACTCATTTATACAGCTCTTTCATTTCCCACCAGCCTCATCATGCAATTATCCAGACAAATCCCAGGATAAAACAGACCATCATTTGATATCATTTTACTTTATCACACAGATGTTTTTTCACAATAGGTTAGTATGTAAATGAGTTGGAATAGCTTTCTACAATGTTTCTAGTTAACAGTACTTTATCAATTTTTTTTCAGTCTATCTGTATCACTTCTCATAAAGCTAATTTGTGCTTGAAATCCAAATCAAGGAGTACCCCTACTCAAAATGCAATCCAACGTAGATCCTCAAATGCACCAACTGTTGAAACTGGTATATTTGCTTAAAAGCTAGTAGCTGGGCTCTGAAATCTTTTATCATCATTCAGTGCTTCTTTCAATCCAAATGCTAGTAAAGCAGTATTAGCAGGCAAGCAAGGAAAGTGTATATTTCAAACTGAGGGCAATGTTGTGTAACTAAGATCTGGACTGATTACATATACATGCTGATCTTTCTCTTTGGTAAGGGAAGAGGGAAAAGTAACAGGCAGAATTATTGATACTTGCTGGAATTATAGATGCATGGCAAACTGCCTATTGAGCACAGTTAGAAAACATTTTTATTCCATTAGGAACAGCTTCAATGTGTAATGGATATGACAAATTTTATTCTAAATTCCAACCATCAGCTTGAACACTAGTTACCCCATAACTGGGTGATACTTCCAAGTTAGTTAAGAAAAAATACTTGTTGGGATTTTTGGCCTCTACAAAAAATGTGGCTTAAGCCATGGCTTTGTTGTATGAACATATTGTGAAATATTCAGGCACTGACTGTAGTTTCTTAGGCCAACACCATACGTGTTCAGGTACGATAAAACCAGAATTTCTGTAATTATCATAAAACTTAAGAACTCAGGATACAGCTAAAATATAAACACTTTCATTATGTCTCAGTTCATAAGGTACTATTAAAGATTATACTCCAAAATTGTAGATAAAATATCAATATGCTAAAAAAACTCCTTTGAACTATCAGAAGAAATAACACTTCTCAATCCAAAGGGTTGCAATTTCTTTTTGTACCGATTAACTAAATTGCAAACAGTGTACAACATTCCAATATGTCTAAAATCAGGTTTTATCCCTTTTATCCCTACATAGATGAACGTGCATGCATACAAACACACCATTTCAATTAGGCTTTAATTTTGAAAACCAGCTCTGACTTAAGCAACATCAGATTACAGCAGTCAAACAACTTCACGAGCTATTGGGAATAGTTTAAGGCATCTAAGCTTGTAAATCAATGTATTTGGAGGTTAATGTTCCACATGTTTGGAAAAAAAAAAATCAAATGTTCTTCAATTTAAATACTTGTAAATGAGAAAAAAAAATTTTTTTCTCCCCCTACAGACTTGTAAGATGTAATCACTTTGGTTGTAAAGTGTACACAAGTAGAAAATAACTGCACCCGCCATCTCCCTTAAATCAGTTATCTCTGACACAGCATTAATAAGTAGAGATTTGTTATCTTCAATATGTGTTTAGAATGAAAATTACATATGTGAGATAAGCTTCCTATTCAGCTCCATTTTTTACAAAGGAATGAGAAATATCCAGTAGTTCTGGTAAAATATTGGTTATGTATTATTTTTATTCAGGAAGATAAAACAATTTCAAAAGGAAGAACCTACAAATACATTCAGGTAACTACTAGAAATACTAAGTAATATCAGCTTTTTAACATGAACAAGTTTATCCATAAGGATAATCACAGTATCATTATTTAAGTCTTATTGTGCAATTTAGCCAGAGATAGTTTGACATTTAAAAAAAAAAATGGAATAGAACATGAATTTAATGTTTCCTCTTAGAAAGGAAAACTTTTCAGTTTCCTTGAAAACACCATGTTTTTAGCGAGCAGTAAAGCACTAGTGTTGAAAGGCACTAGGATTGTTAGCTTGTGTTACTTACTGTTTCCAGTACAGATACAGGCACTTGAAAGCTTAATAAATCAAGCCTGTAAAAAATTTGTGAGGAATTCTGCCACATTCAATACATTTTCAACAGGTTGTCCCACAGTTGTATGGACGCAAAATTCATATGGTAATTCTCTGCAGCACACTTTACAAGTTGGACGTCTCTTTGGCAGACACACGAGAAGTGGCTTGTCTGTATGTCCTGATGACATCCTAAAAAGTGATACAAGAGAAATAATTAGAGTAAGTTCCATTAAAGCAGTCACAGAAATTGCAGGAAAAAAAAGTACAATTGAGCAACAATTTTTTATTCTGTGTAGTCAGAAAAGTCCCATTAAAGTGTTTTTTACTACTACTGAAAGTAGATAATTGTTTCGTATGAAGAATCAACCTGAACTCCTTGCAAAGCACTTCCACTTATTTTCCAAACCTTTGGAAAGCAATTAACTACATTAAATTAAATGTTGATTAACCAGTCTTTTTTTTTTTTTTTTTTTTTTTTTTTTTTTAAGTGAGTGATGTTCCCTCATTTTGTAATTCCACATGCATTGACTTCTCCCATTTAAAATCAAATGCAAGTTAAAATAGACTCTTCATTCTGGTAAACATATGAATAAAACTAAAATACTTGGTTCAACAAAACTGAGCAGCACAAGTCTTTAGCACACCTTTTTCCCAGTCTCAGCATTGTATTTGTCCAGCAGTGCCTGAATACGCGCACCATAGTCAGGGTGAACATCATTGAAGTTTTTCACCTAAACAAGACGACAACATAAAATGCAATGAATTTCCCCTATTCTGTGATCTATAATCAGAATATAAAAGGAAGAATAGGAGGATAGAAAAGCATTTTCAAAATTAACAGTTTGATTTTCAACGACCAGAAGGGAGCAATGAACACAATGAATCATTGCTTCTTTAAGCATACATAAAAGGCCTCTCCTGAATTTAAACAGATCATCTGATTTTTGAAGTGCAAAGATAAACATAACAACATCCCTGGTGTTCAACTTCAAATTTTTCCTCAGTAGGAACAAGTCCTTCCAGCATATTCTACATTATTTACACATATTCACACATTAAAATGTTCTGTATTTGCAATTCCTGCAAAAGAAAGAAAAGTCTGCAAGTTACCTAGAAGCAGAATTCCTCATCTTTGTCTCATAAACACAGTGTTATTTTGACAAAGTTGCTAGACATCCTGGACTGCAGAAAAAAAAAGAGCAAAGACTGAACGCAAACAGACTACTTACAGCCCTCTTTTGAATGAAAAGTTGAGCATCTTTAAGATGATCAGCAATATTTTTACACAGCCTTTGGCGTTCATCCTCCTTCAACACTTTGAGATAGAAGTCTCGCACCTTATAATTAGAAAAAAAATTGGTTTGAAATTTCCAAAAGCAAGTCATTCTACCAGCAGCAGCCCATTATTTAGGATTCATTATTATCAAAGAAATAATAGCTATCACTAGTAAGGCAGCATTTAATGCTGGCTTTCCCCCTCCCCCAAAGCAAATCTGTTAACAACCCTTTTTGTTTGTAGTTTAAGATCACTGATGCTTACCTAGTTAATGAAAACAAGTATGTACTGTTGCACTTCAAATTAAGGAACTGGAGCTCATTACATTACATGCATATTCTAGTTTTGCTATCTGCATAGACCAGTTGCAGGAAAACCGAACACCACTCTCTCTAGATATGAGTGCTCAAAATATGATGTCAGAGGTCTATGAGAATTCATTTATGGTCCTGTCAGCAAGAATTCAGTTATTAATCATTATTAAGCTGTACAGAGATCTTTCAAAATTTTACAAGCGCTTAATTTCAGGTTGGCCCAAATGCAAAGATTTTCGTGTTTGATTGATCACTATTGATATTGTTCATACAAACTATATGCTCATCTTCTGAATAAGCAGTGTAAAGTCCCTTTACGCATCATACCTGAGACACATTGTCTTCATTTGCACTGCTGAAACGCTGCACATCTCCCGAAACGGACATGCGGCTCTCCTTCAGAACATGCTCATCTGCTGGACCAGTAAAGCTATTTGGATAATAGTTTGGGGCACCACCTGAAGAGGGAACACAAGAAAATTTAAGAAAATTCAAATAAATAGATAGAAATAATCTAAAAAAAAAAAAAAAACAATCACCCAATTCTGATTCACCTTACTGAAAACAGTTATCAATATACGGTTACCAACAGCAGCATTCTTTTAGCCAGCATTTAAAAAGCACTTAGTACAATAATTTACATACATCTTGGGATAAAAAAAAAAAACCTGCTTTGTTTAAAAAATAAGGAGGCCTGGCCACTTCCTCTACACCATTGCTCAGAATTTTAATAAAATCATGGGACTCACTCAAAATTTCAGTCCAAAGGCAATGAAAACATACTTCCGTCTGCTTATTTGAAATCTCAAATTTGACCCTTCACAGCTTATTTTCAACACAATGAACTTACAAAGCTTCTTAAACGCTGCTTTCAAGTTCCTGTTTTCCAAACATTTCCACTTCCTCCTTCATGAAGTTTTTTTCATAGCCCAGAGGAATACATGCTTTTGGCATGAAATGTAGCTCAAGTACATACTTGCTTATGTTTAGATACAAGTCAGTCAACATTGGGCAAATACTGACAGAACGTATCATGCAACAGAGCTGAATTTAAAGTTCTAGTGTTGGGATTTACATTCCTGCCTTTCAGTCTCTTGGAAACTGGTGGGAAAAAATGCAGATATAGACTTATTAAAAGATTTAGGCTCTAATTTTTAGAGCAGATTTTTGCCTACAAGTACAAACAAAGAAAAAGTAATTATCTTGTGAAACCATTTCTCAGGCATACTAAGCATTAAATAATTAGCATTTTAGAACTTTTCAATTCAAGCTGTTAACATGTTTGTCCCTGGAAGTCTTTGAATTAACAAACTAGGGCCGTTAATGAACTCATTTGACTGGCCATGCTCTCCTGCAATTCCCCTCTCTGAAGATGACCTATCTGTAAACTTTTCAACCAAGTGAAGCTTAACATGCATTTTAAAGCTTCTAAATAAAACTAAATGATTTCAAATACACTTTCCACACAAACGTTCAAACAAAGTCTGATTTTCTGGATTAATGCAAGAGATATAGAGCCATTATATGTATGTATATACAGTTTGTATGCATACATACAACATACATATATTCAAATTGCAAATGAATATTTTTCACAAGTGACAATTACACACATAAAATTTGAAAACCCAATTTGGAAATAACAGCTTCTTGATACAAGACAGAAGTTATAGTAACCGCCATCTACCTACTTTTAAATAGTTAAAAAAAGACATTTATGTTCACATGCTTATGTAATGTTTCTCACAACGTAAAAAATTAGTCAAAAAAGTACTTAATAAATATCTTTAATCTGCTGCGAAAATAAAAAGCTGCAGTAGCTTTAAAGATTAAAGGATTTCTATTAATACCTTGGTTGTCAGACACACACATTGGCCCATCCCTCTGATAATTGGCCACACGAGCCCTGTAGGGGCAATTCACAGGAATCTGCAGATAGTTTGGTCCCAGACGATGTCTGTGCGTGTCAGGATATGCAAAAAGACGACCCTAAAACAGGCATCACAAACATCACTAAAGCTCTTTCAGCAAGCAGCAGTTATGCGGAGTGTCCCAATTAAAATCATTATATACTAAATAGTAAAAGGCAGAAGACTGCTTCCTTAGCATATTTATATATTCCTGACATAATTTAAAGCACCTTCAAAGTGACACAGACACAAACTAACTTCACAAAAGAAACCTGTGAAGAACAGCATGTGGAGATGTATTTACACAACTTGGCATTTCCTACCAATTACCAACAAGTTTGTTTCAGAATACTAACCCTATCCTGACACAGGAGAAGAGTTACATGCCTAGAAATTAAAAATACCACAACAGTGGTAAATATCAAGGAGTAATATAAGTATTTTCCTACTTGTAAGCAATTTTTAAATTTAAGTTTAAATTTAAGATTAGTTCTGTGCATCAGAGTGTTTCAAGTCCACTTCTCACACTCAAGCATTCTTAATTCTAAAATATTCTACAAAAGCATAAGTAAGCAAGCATTGCTGCTAAGGTCTTATATAGTTGCTCTTGTCAGGCCAATAGATTTGCTAGCAACAAGTTATTTGCAGATGTCCTCTAAATTTTGGATTTTCTATTCCTTTAGTTGTTTCCATTCTCTTAATATTTAAACACTGGATAATCATATCAACAAATTGTGATTATTTGAAGACAAAAAAATTCAGCTGCTTTCCATCTGTCCAGTTATTTTACCATTGTTACATAAAGTGATTGCAATGCTTTCACAAACAGAACATGAGATTTCACCCACGGAGTACTACAGGAACAGTAGATTACCTGCAGCATCTTATCGGGGCTGGGTTCAATACCAGGTGGCATGTTGCTAGGATCATATGCCATCTGTTCTACCTCCGTAAAGTAATTGACAGGATTCCTGTTCAAGACAATCTTGCCCACCGGAATGAGAGGATAGTCACCATGCGGCCAAATCTATATCAGAAAACGCATGCATTAAAATCCATGTGATTAGTATTATGCAGCTTAAATAACAAAACAGGCAAGTGCTGCTTAATTAAGTCTCAACTGAGAGAGAATACATTATTGAAGTAATTTCTACTTTGCTAACAGACATTTTGAGGAATGTCTTTGTCTTCTGAAATTTACACAGAGCATTCGTGCAAATAATTTCATCGTGGCATAATCCCAGCACTGGACTGCTTAAATGAAATACCCACAGGCACTTGAAGAGATGCCTAGGAATGCAGTATTGTATGTGGAACTGGTAGCATGATTGTTTTCTGCTACTAAAAAAATGCAACGAGATAAACTAGCCTTTCTTTTGTTATGCTGCAGTTTCAAAAGGTCAGAAGTATTTAAACGTTTTGGAGGTGGGCAATATTACAGAAAAAAAAAAACCACATAAGTTTACTTTACTATCTTCCAAGTGCCATTCTTTGGAACAGCAACTGGAAGTCTGATGTAACCAAAAACCAACACCAAGACCACACAACGCAACTGTTTCAGCAAGGAAGAACAACAGAGATACCTTAGTCAAATCAAAAGGATTAAATGGGAACTTCTCTGCTTGTTCAAAAGTCATAACTTGAATGTAGAAAGACCAGGAAGGATAGTTTCCATTGGCTATGGCATTGTAGAGATCACGAATTCCATAATCAGGATCAGTAGCAGCCAGTCTTCCTGCTTCTTCAACAGTAAGATTTTTGATGCCCTGATCAGTCTAAAAGCAACAAAAGCAGGAGAAACAGATATTACTTGCAGGAATTACAATAATAATAATAATAGCAATGTGTTTTAACAAGACTCAAGAACTAAGAGCATAATGTCCCAGTCTACAGTAATATTAGTTTGGGAACAATACAGTCAACAGCTGGCTTCCAGATAAGAATGAGTTCTCTTATAAAACAGAAATAAAAGTAATGCTATACCACACAAAAACAGACATGGAAATACAATCTCTACAGCACGTAAAGTGAATATATTTCTTCTTTCCCCTCACAGGATGGAGTGCTCCTTTACTGTCCCATCATCTCATTTCTTCCCACAGACCACGTGCTAAAATAAACTGATAGAAGGGTAGTGGCTCTCAATGCTGAAAGTCCAAGATTCATACAGAATCCATCTTTTCAGATATTCTGTTGAAATTTCCTTTCTTCCCCTTCAATTTCTCTGACATCTTCAGCACGAACTACACCATCATTTTAATAAGCTTCTGACAACTGAAAAACTAAAAGCTGCTATGCAATCCTTCTTAGTTCAGAATAATGGTTTCTCAAGCCTTGGTTCAAGAGTAAGCATCCAGGCTCCACTAACTGAAATTTAACAAGTTAAGCAGCTCCACTGTCTTTAAAACTGAAGGGAAGCTGTTTGCAAGCGAGATGTGCTACTGACTTATTTCCCAACAAAAGTAGGAAAGTTCTACAAGCTTCAGCCATAGAGCTCTCAGGTAGAGGATTATATTCTTTGACTTTACATAATCGATGTTGTATTTCTAAGGAACATCATCTATGTACTTTAAATGCATGCAACTGATTTGAAAACATGCACACACAACATATGTAGAGTATATACACTAAGTAATTCTCTTCTGAATTAAAGCAGAAGTTAAACACAGAGCATTCAGACAATCTTTGAGTCGATCTTTTCATTCAGTGTAAAGTCTACTTCCAATAAATAAGAGGAGAAAAAGCACACCTTAACATGGAATTTGCAGTAGACGGCTCCCCCACTAGCATTAACGAGTTTAAAAGTATGAGATCCATATCCATTCATATGGCGAAATCCATCAGGAATACCACGATCACTGTACGTGAAAGACACCTACAGGGAAGAATCCAACAACATTAGCTCATTCGGTTCAACTAAACAACCACTTGAGACTAAGGTCACTTACTACATGATATGCATCACTGTAAATACTTAACATTAAAAATTATATCAACATCCTAGAGAAATTTAAGTTTCTAAGACTTAAACCAAGACTGCTCAGGTTTTGCACATGGAACAAGGTGCCCACTTTAAGTATTAAAGGAAAAACACATCAACCTAGTGATAATGTTATGATTTTCTCTATAAGCACAGAGCAGGAAAGTATAGATATTTAAATGCAACTAAAATTTTTTTTATAAAATAAAGAAAATCAGGAAATTTAAGTCCTGAATAACTAACCCGTCAGTGCCCTTAGGCAATAAACATAGCACTGAAGTTATTCAGAATGCTGTTTTTTTTCCGATTTACAATCAGAAACAACACCTGCTGCATCTCCATTCCAAGTAACTGGAAAACTTCTACATTAATCTGTTCATTTTTAAAAACACAACTACATTTCAATTTTCTTTAGCTTTTCTAATGGCATTCTTCTTTATATGCTAACATTAATATACAGTTCGTTGTTAATCAGCTCTCCCATGGCTTTAGTATTAAAGAAACACACGAGCTTTCTTTCCATCTCCATGTAAGATATGATCACAAAAATGGGAGAAATCTAGCTTTTTCATAGTCTTTCAAAGAAAAAAAAGACAAAACTAAAAGAAAGTACTAATGGCCTTAGGAGGTATCAAAGGTATTACAGGCTTTTGACCTTTACGGTGCCTAAAAAAATCATGTAGGCTTCCAGACAAAACAGTTTCAGTTAAAAACATGCTGCTGTAACATGAAATTCAAGACGAGAAACTTACTTGATGCAAAGACTCGGGGCGAAGACTCAAGAAATCCCATACCATATCTGCATCCTTCAAGTGAGTCTGAGGGTTCCTCTTTTGGCTATGGATGAAAGATGGAAACTAATTTGTCCAGGGAGGGAAGGAAAGAGAGAAAAAAAAGTTTTATTTCATATCCCCAAATACAAGGTTTTGCTTATTATATCCCATGTACAAGATTAACAGTTTAACAGATTAACAGTTTTATTCAGTACATTTTTAGCTATGAAAGGAACAAAACACTGGAGGATTAGGAAGCTTTAAGAAAAATCTTCTGTTGTCATTTACTTCCTGCAACCAAATTTGTTATCCTAATTTTACTGATTTGACTATGAAAGCAAAATTTTAACATTAGGATTAACGGGATGTTCAAAGACAGAAAATGCTTTCAACTTCTGTCCAATAAAATGAGAGGCAAATGCTCTTAAATTTGCATATAAACACTAGTGAAGCTGATCAAGCTGGAAGTTTAAAGCCACTATATATTTACTTGTTGGCTGCTATCCTGTAGCATGTGCACTAGCAAATAACTAGGCACGTGTGCTATTGAAGTAGCAATGTAAGTAATCAAGTATTAGCTCTTAATTTTTTATTTTTATTTTTTTATTTTTATTATTATTATTTTTTTTTTTTTAAGTATCACCTTGTCAAGTTAAAACCAGTTAGAACACCTATGGACAGAATTTAAAAGCATGTCAAAACGACTCTTGCTTATCAGTAGAGCAAGAACAATGTTTGAAATAACTTTTGGACTCTTCCACACAATACTATCATCCTCAGTTACTCACCAACATTGCATCCCGGATAAAGAAGATGGGTGTATTATTTCCCACGAGATCCCAGTTACCTTCTTCTGTATAGAATTTCATTGCAAAGCCTCGAGGGTCACGAACTGTGTCAGCTGACCCAGATTCTCCAGCTTGAAGAAACACAAACACATACAAGTGTTATGATAAGAAACCAAAGTAGAAAACTATGAAACTTGAGAATATGCCATAAGATCCTAAGAGAATTGTTTATGTTGTTGTTTATTTCTAATTAAAATCTATTACATTCAAAGAATTTTCTGCATGTTTGCAATAATACTTCAGGGAGTGCCTGAAGCGGCTTAATTACCTAGAAATACATTATTTTCTGTGCATCAAATCCCATTGTGAAAGCTCTCACTTGGAGAACAGCAATCTAAGTTGCGTACCCAGTGAAAGCACAACTTCTTACAGAAGAGTTGCAACACTTAATTAATCCCTTGCTTTATCCAAAGTAATCTTTTCAGCAGGTGAATTTATACCACAGCAAAAGTATCCTCCACCATATGTCAGCAAGTGTTCTGGAGGCATTCAGCAACTATTAACGTTAGCCGTCATTAAGAAACAACCAGGACACCCATTATCTCTTGTAAAATGATTCTGTCTGCTACAAAATAGCTCAGAAGAAACACGTTCAAAAACAGCAGGAAAAGGAAAGCTAACACTGCAACCTTCCTCTTCAGCACTATCTACTTACCAAGCTCAGCTACATGCCTTTTCTCTCCAATAGAATATTCCAGAGAAAGACCAGTAAGCTAAAAACTAGAGGTCCTTGAGTTGTTTTTTTTTTCCTTCCCTTTTCCAGTGCAATTCCCAGAATTAAATATTCATTAGAATTTATTTTAAGTATAATAAACATGTCTAGTAATACACACCTTTCAGAAGATCCTTTTTCTATCAGGTATACTCTACAGCTTTACAACACATACTTAACATAGCCAATCCATGCATTCACTTCTTTAGCAAAAGAAGCAAGATTGTTTAGAATACTGACTATTCCTACTTGCCTAAAATACACTTAGCAGCGTTCTTCTCCAGAGCGTTCCTACAGCATAAGAGATTTCAGGTCTTCAAATTTAAAGAGTAAAACCACAGTTTGCAAGTGTTGACTGTGACCCTTCCAGAAACAAAGCTTTCCATCAGAACTAAAAACAGACTAGAAGTGGTACAGACCACCCTTTCTTTCACATTCCAGGGGAGAAACAGGGCTGGAGCCACAAGGCGTAGAACTAGTTCACTGTTGTTTAAGGTCTTAAAAATTAAATAAAATATACAGAGAAGGAAACATTTCAAATATCTTAAAGACAACATAAGTGTTCTGCAACTCAAACACTGATATCAGCGTTAACTATGAGATTGTATATGTATGTATGTATGTATGTATGTATGAAGATACACAATTTTAGAGCCTTACCAACAGTGGAGAACCGTATAGCAATTGGAGTTCTTTTTCCAATGTGTTCAAACACTTTTGCCTTGCAGTACTGGGTAATATCATGAGTCACTTCAAAATAGCCAAAGGCACCTGAAGAAATATAATTTCAAAACATCAGATCTACATAATTTCCTTCCACTCATAGCACATATATTATTCAATTATGGTTAAACATACAACATTAAGTTAAAAAAAACAAAACCAAAAACATGAAAATACACTTTAAATCTATGCACTAAACCACCAATTTGTTTTTACAGATTAAAATTTACATCACACAATCTAGTATTTGCACTGTGCTCCCCCACCCCCATCTTAACAGACTGCTAACAGTTCCTGGCAGCAATACAGATCTCACTCCTACTCTACAAAATAATAAACAGTAACTCTCTTTGGGTGCTTTTCTGCCAAGATTTTATATTTACCTCTGAGGAAGATAAGTATTTCTTTGATCTTAGTAAATGTTGTCTTTAAACAAGACAAAGCAACCAGTTCTCCCCACCCTCCAAAGACGACCTTTTCTACAGATCTATATATATTACAATAAAATTCAGTCCCATATTTTATTGCTTAAGAGCAACGTGTAACAGAAACCAGTGGTGCTAGTTCTATGTGACATTTTTCTAGTTTAAGTATTAAAGATCATCTCTCTTTGGCAGACTGACACGTCAGGAATTAGAGAGTGAAGTTTTTAATCAAAAAACACAGAAACAAGTATTAAAACACAGATGGTTAAGACATCCTATCAGAGAAGAGGGGTAGTAAGAAGCAACAGACAGATGAAACAGAGTACAGTGAATAGTACAATATTTAAAATAAATCAAAGGGCTATAATTACATTTCTATATTTTTTAATAGTTTCACTGCTTTAAATTTCAGCTTTGACCCTTGGCATAATAACTGGTATAAATTTAATCAAGAACTGCAGATTCATAGCACATTAACTGTTTATTACAATTGAATTATTACAGGTTTTTTTGTGGTTGGTTGGGTTTGTGGTTTCTTGTTTGTTTTTAAATTTCACACACTTGATCCATTTACCTTTGGATCAAAGACCTACACACAGTTTTTCTAAACCAGGCCTCACCTGCCGCTCTGTTGTTAACTGAATTATAGACTACAATACAATTCAATCCAACTGTACTGATATGCCACCTCAAAAGCTTCTTAAACCTGATCCCCAGAGAAAAAAAGTGCATTTATAAAACATACCTGTTCCTTTTGCATGCACAACTCTTTCAGGAATCCTCTCTCTGTCAAAATGAGCCATTTCATCAGTGAAAACAACGTCTTGAACAAGAAGAGGTCCACGTGGCCCAACTGTCATAATATTAAGTTTATCCCCTATTGGATTGCCAGCAGCAGTGGTCAAGGCATCTGGCTTCTGAAAGTAAGAAAAAGACTATTAACACTAGAAATTGAAAGCCCTCTATCTAAACCACAGGACACACAAAAAAGTATGTATCATGGTTTCAGCTGAGATAGTTTTCTTCATAGGGGCTTATATGATGCCACAGTCTGGATTTTTGAGGAAAGCAGTGGTGATAGCAGGTTGATGTTTCAGTTGTTGAACAGCAGTGCTTACACAGAGCAAGCACTTTCTAAAAAACAAACTTCTCATGCTGCTCTGCCAGCAGGCTGTGGTGCACAAGGAGCTGGGAAGGGACCCAGCCAGCACAGATGATCCTGACTGACCAAGGAGATATCTCATACCACACAGCATTATGCTCTGCAATTTAAGCCAGCATAAAAGTGGAAGTGAAGCCGTTTGTCCTCCCAGAGGGCGAACCATTATACACAAGCAAATTAATTCCTTGTTTTGCTTTGCTCACACGCATGGCTTTTGCTTTACCTAGCAAACTGACAACACGCAAGTTCTCAAGTTTACTTCTCCAGTTTCCTCTCCCATCCTATGCAGGGAGAGCGAGCAAGTGGCTTTGTGGTGCAGAGCTGCTCACTTGTGACTTCTGGCCATCCAAAGTAGGGCATAAAGGGTTCAAGATGATGACAGATTTGATACAAGTGGGGACTGCACTAGAACCAGATGTATAAAAGTTTCAGCTGTTTAGCTGCTAACAGGGCTTACTTGACTTACTGCATGGTAGGAGTTTGGTGCTTACTAGTGGCTGCTTTTGCTCTGCCATTTGCTCTACTCTTTATCAGCTTGTTTTACTGTGCCTATGAACATTCTGATAACAGCTACAGCCTGGGCTGGACAGGGTGGGACTCCAGACTGAACTCCAGTCAGAGGGATTGTGCCCTGCAGGTAAGCCCACATGAGAGGATGTATAACCCAAAACATTGGTGGCCATGAGGAAGCCTGCACCATAGCAGGTACACCTTGCAATGTCTGTGAATAAGACCATGTGAAAGTACCTCAAAGCATCTGTGGATAAGAACGCAATGCAGCAGGCATGTCAGAAGCAACCTCTGAAGGAACTGAGGCTCACTGAAAAGGCCACACTACAGCAGGTACACCTCAAAGTGACTGTGAATAAGTCACTGCCACAGGTTGTATGCTCCTGAAGAGGCTACGTCCTGTTAATAAGCTCACACCAGAACAGGCAGACCTTAAAGCATCTATGGTCGTGGATAAGTCTACAACTTAGCAGACAGGCATCTAAAGAGATTGTGGCTCACAGTAAGGCCAGGTAGAAGCAGGTACAGCTCCAAAGAACTACAGCCAATAGGCAAACCCAGGCTTGAGCAAAAGCAAGAGTTCTTTACATGTTACAACTTATAGACTGGAATGAAAGGACCGAAGGTAGAAACTGTAACTGACACAGCCTTAAAGAGTTGTAATCTATGGGTTGAGTTGTGTGTTACAGTTAAGTCCGACAAGCAGAGCTGCCATTGGCACACAGAAACACCACACAACACCACTCCTATCCTCAGAGCTACTGTAACAGATAGAAGCTAAATCACAGTCATTCTACAGGAGTGGTCCACAGACCAAAGGAAGGGTATCTTCATATTACCAAAGGGTGGTCATTAATGAAGATGCATTAGAAAAAGCGTGGGACTTGAGCATGATACGCAAGAAGCGGTTCTTACATCATGGTTTTGACTGGGATAGAATTCATTTTCTTTGTAGATATTCACACAATACCAATATTTGGATTTTTAATGAAAACAGTGATGGCAGCACCACCCATGTTTCAGTTGTAGCAGAGCTGTGCTTGCTCAGAGCCATAGACTTTCCTCCTTCTCATGTTGCCTTGACAGCAGGAGCTGGAGAGACACAGCCAGGACAGTTTCCACACTGACCAAAAGGATGTCACACACCATCTGCTTGCCAAAGGGAAGCTAAAGAACGAATTCCTTGTTCTGCTTTGCTTGCACACACAGCTTCTGCTTTACCCAGTAAGCTGTCTTCACGCCAACCCATGAGTTCTTCACCCAATCACAGAATGGCTAGGGTTGGAAGGGACCTCAAGGATCATGAATCTCCAACCCCCTGCCACATGAAGGGCCATCAACCTCCACATTTAATACTAGACCAGGCTGCCCAAGGCCCCATCCAACCTGGCCTTGAACACCTCCAGGGATGGGGCACTCACAACCTCTCTGGGCAGCCTGTTCCAGCACCTCACCACTCTTTCTGTAAAGAATTTCCCCCTGACATCCAATCCAAATTTTCCCTCCCTCAACTTAAAAACCATTTCCCCTCATCCTGCAGTTACCAACCTTTCAAAGAGTTGATTCCCCAATCTTATTGTTCTTGCACTTTTACCTTTCCAATTCTCTCTCCCATATCACCTGCAGAGTGAACAAGTGGTCACACGGCGCTGAGCTGCCTGCCAGGGTTAAGCCACAACTACATGCAAGAAAATTGCATAAGATTCTGGAACTACTTACAGAAATCATAGGGGCGTAAATATCAACAGCATTATACCTAAGGCCACTTCAGAACGGGAGTTAAAGCCATATACAATGATAGAATGCTTTCTATCTTCAGAAGTATTTATCATGGCTTCACTTTCCTTCAAGTAAAATATGATGAGATGATTTTAAAACGCAAGTTTCATTTTGACCCTTCTGCTGCTCCTGTGACAAGAGGGGATATGGGAGAAAAAGCATGAAAGAGGGTAACTACTGAAAAGTAGTGAGGAAAAAGGGGAAAGTAACGTCAGTGCAGGGATGAAGTCACAAGGAAAGATTTGCAGTCACAGAAAAGACTAGAAGGTACTCATGAATGCCTTTACTAGTTTGGAAGAGCTGTGCTAATAATAAGCAAGAACAAATCCAAGGAATGATCAATCCCAGACTCATAAGCTACTGAAGGACTAGGATTACCAGAAGCACTGCTGTCAACAAACACCCCATCAAAAGAACAGGAAATAAGAACTTTTTGCCTTTTTAAATCAATTGCCTGAAATAGACCATATTTCTCCTCATTTCCCCCCTTCCTTCCATACAGTTCCTGTAGCTCATTCCAAAGCACTGCTTGTTCATACGGTAGGAGCGACTCTGTACCAGGGGAGAAAAAACAGCCACTCTGAGATAACTTCAAGAAACATCTGCTGGAATTCTACAGCACTATTCAGTCTATATTTCCACTTTCCTAAATACATACATATGAACTCTTTTCTACTGGTGTGTATATCTGCACTGTGTATTAATACGCTACTCTAAAGGTGACAGTGCTATTTTACTGGGTAATGCATTAAAACACACACACACAGAGAAAAGAAAAAAAAAAGGAACAGTAAGCCAAAGGAATAGGTGCTTTAATTAAAACATTAGTTTGTCAGGGGAAAAAACAGAAAAGCAGAAGCTGTTGTCAATATTATTTCTACTAATTCTGTGTCACATGCTTATATTTTGATCAGTTTTGAATCAAATAAAGGGATTTTACTGTTCACTTTGAGAAGCCTGACTGCATAGGAAGTTCTCCCATCCTGAATTATTCTAAGGGTTTAGTTTCTTAACATGATATTCTAACATGCAGACCCCATACAATGTAGCACCCCTAAAAATAAACATGATAAAGCAAATTTATAATTTGAGGTGATTGTTTAAGTTGTCATTACAGCTGATTTTTTTTTTTAATGACAATTTTGATATACTAAAGTAAGTAGAAGGACACTACCATATTCAAGGCATTTCAGGAAAAATTCACTTATCTATTCCAGTCATTCAGCCCAGTAAATGTAAAATACTGTGCTTCAAAATATTCACCTTGCACAAATTAGTACAATGTGATTTTTCAGCTCATTATCCTGAGCCACTTTCCATACTAGGAAGCTTCATGCAGCCCATTTTTAAATCCATTCTAAGCCTCTGCTTTGAAAAGCCCTTTCTTCAAACACGGAATGGTCTGCAGATATGACTATAAAAAGCTCACACATCTTGACATTTTTAAATGAACTTTTTGGTCAAGAAAATTTCAGTTTGCATAAGGAAAAACTTTCTCCCTCCTTTGGAAACCTAACTACCTGCAATGTTTTTTCTTTGATTTTTGTTAATTTTGTCAACTGAAAATTAATCAATTTTTTGTTGATGACTACAAAACTCATTTAAGACAGGAAAAGTTTGTAATGTGATAAAAAGAAATCCCAAAAGTTGCACCATGTCCATCAAGGCACAGAGAAGTCATGTCGACATAAGAGCCCCGCTTATCCTTTCAAAACTGTATACAAATTCTAAGCTCAGCAGTAGGACTACAAGCCATATACCTACAACCTTCTGCTCCACAATGCCCTTGCAAGACATCGGTAATGGTCATTAAGGATATACACATGCTGGCTCTTTTCCCAGCCTTAAAAAGAAGTTTTTGATTCATCTATGGTTTCATAATACAGAACAATTACCTGAAAAGGAGAAAAAACTGTATGTCAGTTGGAAGCTATGTATGCTGTAAAATATAAAAGGTTTGTAGAGACAGTACAGCCCTTTTCAAATGGACAGGTTACCTCATTATCTGTTTCTTCCATGATGCAAACATAAGACCAGTAGAAACGGCTAGAAATACATTCTTTTGAAACAAATCATATTAAAAAAAACTGAAGATTTTCATGACCGAAAGATCTTTTTGTGAAGGCAAACTTTCTGAGAGGTTCTTTCTAATATTGACACTAGAAGTACAAACGCTTCCAACTGGCAGGATATATATAGTCGCCTTAGTTTCAGGATAATGGCATGAAGGGCACACAAAGCAACTTCCATCTCTATGAGGGGAGAGAAGGAAAACCATGTTAGTTTTAAGAGAACTCTCAGACTACTTTTGGAGTTGAGTTTGTTTGATGCCTTTATTTTCAAATGGTTGGGAGCTGCATACAGTCAAAGCCATATAAGATAAACACTCAGATTTGAAGCCAATGTCGCAGAAAGGAAGGAAGTAAAGCCAGGAGGATTTTAGTCACACTTGTTGTAAACACCATACATCAAAGTACATTCTTCCAGGCATTACTGATACTTTGCACCTTACATATGTCGCTTTAAAATTCAAATAAGTCACCCCTACTTTCTCTCTTGAGGTCTCGTGACTCCTTATGGAACACAGACTCCGTGTTAACTCCCAATCTTCACATTAACCTTGGCCTATATTTAAATGCTGTTTCACTACAGAAGAGCTGGCACTAACACAAACAGCATTAGCTGCAGTACATGAAAATGCTGTAAGACATGGTGGAATATGTTGAAGCCACAACCGATCGTCAGAACACTGCTTACACAGAGTGCTGTGTAGACTGGACAAAGTCGAGGGCTAACTATGAGCAGTGTGAACTATGGCAGCCACCCACGTTTAGTAAGGCTGCCGTTCTATTCTATTCAAGTAGAAGGAGCGTTTAGCGCCATATACGTATTCCTGTCAGCAGATTCCGAGCAGCAAACTGGCACAGGGGTTCGCTGAAAAGGAATGGCAGCCAACCGGTGCGGCATTTACACCCTCAGCCAAGCACTCTGGCACACACTCCGTCTTTGGAAGGCAGAGCCCTATATTGTTGTTTACGCGATTTCAACCAACCTCTCACCCCAATCCAACCAGGTAAACACATCTCTGTTCCTCGCTGTCTATACCGTTCCCTAATCCGATTTTCACCGATTTCTACCGCTGCGATAACAGGACAGCCGATCCCAGCCAGCCCCCCGCGGGAGCGGCTTCCCACAGCCCGTCGCCGGGCACGGCCCAGCCCCAGCCCTGCCCAGCAAAGGCGGACAAGGCTGAGCCGCGAGATGCCCGTGCCAGTGGCACCGCCGCCCGCCTAGCAGCCGCTGCTTTTGGCCGAAGGCAGTTCGCCCTCGCCGCGCCCCGCACACAGCGGCTCGCGGGCCGGCTAACAGCTCTCTGCCGGCGGCGAACTGCCCGAGAGCTCGCCCCCATCACAGACCGCGGCGGTACCTGCGAGCCCCGCTGGCTTTGCCACCGCTTCAGCTGTTCCGAGGCGACGTCCTGTCTGTCAGCCATCTTGCAAGCTTAGGAGACCCCCGGGCAGGAAGGGCGCTGCAGAGCGAGAAAAGCACGCGCAGGGCGGGCTACTGAGACAAGACTCGCTACCGCCAAACTCGGAGAGGAAACCCTACCGAGCTCCACTGCGCCAGCGAGTAGCGGGAGCGACCGCACCCACGGTACCTACTCCAGTGCTGCGCCCACCCCCTCGCCGCCGTGACCAATAGCCCCGCGTCGAGCGGGCAGCGCGAGCTCTGAATGGCTGAGAGGAATGTCAGTCAGGGCATAAGGACCCCCCCCCCCCCCCCCACACACACACACACCCCACCCCCTGGGTGAGGCGCTGTGTGCGGACGCCGGCGGCGCCCTGCGACTCAGCCTGGGGGCGGCGGGGGTCACGTGGCTTCTCCCTGTGGGCTGCGGAGTGCCGCCTCGTTAGAGCTGGAGTGCGTGTAATGAGCTGTACGCAGCTACGGTTTTGTTCGGCGTTTTTAATCTCGAGGTCCCCCAGCTCTGTAGAGTCACCGTCCCTGGAGGTGTTAAGGAAAAGGCAGATGTGGTTTTGCGGGACGTGGTTTGGAGTGGTTATAATCATGGGCTGGCTGCTAGGCTACATGATTTTAGTGGTCCATCCAACCTTAGTGATTCTATGATCCTATGAAACGAGGAAAAGGCTTTTCTGCAAGGCTAGCGTGACTCCTTAACAGATACAAAAGGTAGCTTAACTCATTATTTCAGTAAGATAATTCTCTATCAAGCAGATAGTTATTTAAGGCCTCCAATTACAGGTCTGGATACTGCTAAGGGATTATCATTAATGGTTCTCCATTTTCTCAGTGGTGAGAACAGCAAACTGCTCTCTTCAGTCTCACTTGGGATGGTTTTTGTTGCTGTCTCAGCATCTCATAATCCTTTCTACCTCAACATCATGAAGCATTAGAAAGGACACCCATATTTCTAATATTTCTTGTTGTAAATACACGCCAGCCTACTGCATCTTCTTTGTAAGTACCGATCAACTGCATGTGTAAGAATTCTGCTGCATTCAGAACAGATTTGGTAAAAATAAGCAGAAGTAAATCCACGCAGATTTAAGAACTCTTTGTACAGAGCAGAATATCCATATAATATCTGCCAAAAGAAAACAAAACAAATCTAAGCTTCAGAACAAGGTCTTAATTCACAGTAAACTTAATTTTCAAGACTTTAGGTCCCATTCTGCAACTATGCTTGTAGGCCTCACCATCAGCCATTTCTGAGAACATACAGTGATCATTTCAGGTACTCATTTAGACTTCAGTACCATTCTCCTTAACAGCTTTTATGTTTTTAAGATGGCTTCTTCATATTAAAAACAAAGGTCTTCACACAGAGACTTTATATTAGGAGTGCATCTACGCATTTGTTAAAATCAAGCAACTTAAAAATGATTTTGCTTAACCAGCAAAATGAGGGAAATGTGTTTCATTAAAAGCTTTTGTTTGCTTTTCCTTTAAAGTTTAACATTCCCTGTCAACAAATGTGTGTATATAAGCTTGCCTGATACAAACCTGCTTCGAAATAAGAGTAACTTTAAAAAAATTCTCCTCTCTCCAATAAAACCTTCTTGTTACAGTTGTAATGCTAGAGAAAAACGTGTATGTATACATACTTGTATGTGTACAAAAAGAACAGGAGGAGATTAATTATTGGCTAGTAAAATATGCTAAAATACAAGAGAAAGCAGTAGTAACATCAATGGCACATATTTTCATAAATTTTTGTTCTTTAGTTTTATCAAAACTAAGTAAACACATTTGAGAAGAAAGGTTACATCCAGCACTAAGTTAAACATAAAGCAAATACTTTTATCTCATGTTATGGAAAAATGATCTGTATCTTCAGTAAGGAAAGTGGTGAATGCTGGTTTAAATTCCACAAGCATCTTGCTGTGGATATGTTAATTTATTTCCTCCCCCTTCTATTATGATATATGATTCCTGAGGCATTTCATTTGCCTGGGAAAGCCTCCTGTTATATATATGTATTATGTAAACAAACTTCAAACAATTCCAAATTAATCATCTCTTATTTACCTGGGGAGACTGGTTCTCTGTTGTGTGTCTTTCTCTTATGTCTTTCTGAGACATAATCCAAACCACATTTCATCCTTAATGGAAATTTTCTGAGATTAAAACTCATAATAGTTTAACATTTGTATTTTTTTTTTTTTTTTATAAAGTGGATTTAAGCATGAACTACAGGGTCAGCTTCACACATGCAGTCGTATCGTACATAAACAATTTGTAGTGCAGTCCTTTAAACTGAAGAGAATGATCTAGAGTTAGTTTCACAGATCACAGAAGGTTGGAGTTGGAAGAATAAAAGGTCAATAGTATCAGTTGATTTCCTACTTAAGTTATGTAAGTTCCTAAAGTTTTTGTTTCACAAGTATCATCCACCTTGAATGACTGACTTGGCACCTACCTCTTATTTGAATTTTAATCAGATTCACAAATGTTCCCACATTCCATACATCTTCTGAGTAGGTATACTCTGAGTACCTCTGCTACATGGCAAAACATTTAACTTCAGCACAAAGCATGGTGGCCATTTGGACTTCAGTCTAGTGACTGAAAGATGAGCAGGACAAGATTTCTCTTTTTTAATGCTCATTTTTAACAAAACTAATTATAACCTAGTACACTCATCTCATACTTAATTTCTTTGCCCATCTACTAATGATATTTGAACTTAACATCTTCTGGGGAATCCAAACCATCATCTAGAGATGAGGCTTGGTTTTGTTTTCCACCTGAACTTATTTCACACATCTTTGTGTTTTGCAATTTCTTAATTTGCATAAGCAATACTTCTGATCATCACTGTCAAGAACTTGTTTCATATTTAGTGCTGAAAAGAGAACTGCAGTATAACTAAAATAAACTCGGTTGTAGAATAAGAAATTCAGCCCTTTTCACACGGTGAGGCTCTCAAACACATATTTATGTGGATATCTCAGTTTCCTTTTTTTATTCTTAGAAACTTAATAAAATTATTATTTTATTAAATTTTTAGCATTAATAAAATTATTTCACATCATATAAGTCATATAAATACAATTTTATTGTATTAATGTGTTTTATTTTCTTTGAGTTAAACATCAAAGAGTAAGCATACGAATATTTGCCTGCATTTGTTCTCTGTATTGTTAGCAGGACTGTATGAAGCATTTAGCTAACAACAATTAAACATGTATTTTTAAACTTGCTTTTGCCCATTGATATTTCATTCTTCATAAGACTTAAAGCGAAACACAGTAATGATTTTTACTATTGTTAAAATCAGAAGCTCTTAATCTTTTAAATGGGTCACCCATCCAGAATGACTTGTGCTTTGAATTAGTCAAGTGCTTAATTGGTATGCTGGTTATTTGCAGGTATTAATATAGATATTTGATGTCAGAGATATGGTCTAATTCTGTAGCAAGAAGAGGACATTTTGTACTAGGAATAATATAAATTAAGTGTGACTCATGGAAGTTTTGAGAAACTCAAGCAATTGTATATATTTACCAAAATTCCTCGTAAAACTGAGTAGTTCTGGTTAAGATACTAAAATTGAAATGTTGTTATATAAGCATAGTTATTTAAAACAGAAAATGGTTGTAATATTCTAAAAGCTTTAGCTACCTACCTTTATCACTCGACTCTGAGTACTGCTGTGAAAAATGTATTTACGTGTGTACCATTAATTAATCAAATTCATCATGTGTTATTTAACTAGGGAGCTCTTCTGAATTCATCCTAATCTGAGGACCAATGATGATCCAAAGGGCCTTAAAAGTGCCTGTAAAAAGACTGCAAAAACCAGCCAGCAAATCATATTTTTACATTGTTGTGTGTAAAATTAAGCAAATAGCATGTAGGAAATAAAAATGGACACTGAACGTTTGGTCTTATTTGGTTGTTATACTGCATTAAATGGTCCAATGGTCTTTTCCTGCCAGTGAAAATTAGATAAACGACTGTGGAAAATTTTGGATACATGTCTGCAGCTAAATTCATCACTACCACTCTCTCTCTGTATACTTATACACAGGAATTATTTGTACAATTCATTAATATACTAAAGACTCAAACTGAAGCTTCTACTTGGATGTACAAACAGTTTTTATGTCATTATATGTTGCATTCTATAATAAGCAAGCTACAAAAATAATGGTTTGATGTTGTGCTGAAAAATATTAGCGCAATATTTGCACACTACAAGTGGGAAAGTGTACCTGATAAAGTCTAAGTTGTGTGTGCATAACTTTATAAAACTCTACAGTTTTATATGCATGTATGTATACACGTAAATATGTAGTGACACATCTACATTATGTGAACCAAATGAAAGAAGTTACATATATACCTAATAAACTCAACACTACTTATTATTTGAGCATTCTATTTGGAAAGAAAGTCAACTGGTATTCTGAGTGACTGATGTTAACATTGCGAGGTAACACCACTAATGATGACTGTAGGCATAGTTAATATATCTAATATGTAAGTTTTCAGTAAATTTTGGTACTAAAACAATGTTGAAATTTATCCTTTGATTACATGACCCCTGACAGCGATTTCTGATTTTTTTCTGTGAATAGTCATTATTATGACAAAGCACTGTGATCACATGAAGTTTATGAGGAAAAAAAAAGATAATAAACCAGCCAGTGGAATGCCAGCAAGTGACTGAGATTTGCTGTAACAGCATCAACACCAGAAAACAAGAGGGATCTAAGGGGAAGATACATAGAATTTGTAAGGTATGAACAAGTAAATGTGACTGTCTTTAAAACCAACAGGGAAGTAGCTAGAAATTATGTATGATCTAGTCACCAAGTCAAAATTATCACACCTCAGAGATCTACATTAGAAATCTAAGTAACATTTAGGTGTCTAAATAAAGCCTGGATTAATTTCCTTTTTTTCTTTAAGCAAGCTGTGAAAGTTGAGAGTCTCTGTGAGCAGAGATGCACCAAAAGATTTCCATTGCACATGACAAGCACAATAGGGATATGTGCTTTGTTTGCTAGAGTATCATGCACACATTTTACATATGTAATAATCTGATGTGCTGGCTTGATGGTTCCGTTTCTCATGGAATCACCTGGAGGTAATTGCTGCAGATTTCTAGAGCAGAGAGTACACATCATGGTTCCATTACAGATAATTCTAACATGCATATAATCCACTTGTATTTGTATTTTTAGGACAAAAGTTGAAAGAGAAGAATACATTTTAAGATATTTCATGGAAGCCAGCTGGCCACTCTGATTCATTTTCATCACCTTTAAAGTAGCTCATCAGTAGATGCTGAGCATAACTCATTTTTTAAGGTAATTTCAATGAATTGTGGAAGAGATGCACTTTTAAAAATCTGCTTTATTGTAGGGAAAGAATTGTGATGTCTCTTCAGTTGCCCTATTCAAAAGGGCTAAGAGCAATAGATGCAAGACTGTGAGGTTTGCCCCTTTGAGATGGTTGCAAATAAGAACCAAGGGAATAATTAATCCTAGGGTGCTAACACACTAATTAGTGTTCTTTGAACTGATAGGAGTTCTAGGTTCTCAGTTCCTTTGAAAAATCTGTTTTTATTTTGGTGTGAATTTTTTAGTCTTTTCCCCCCCATCTTAAGTAGCTGTCATTCTCAGTATATTTTGCATAATAATAGGAGGAAGCTAAGGATGGAATGCTGGGAAAAAAGTCTGCATACCATCTGCTTACATATCTTAATTTTGACAATAAAATAGAACAAAAAAATTACAAGGTTCTTATGAGATTCAAAGAAGCAATACACACAAAGCAAAACACAGCAGTGTTAGTAGCATATAAGATAAAAATAAAATGGCTCTTCTAACCTGGAATAATGGGTTCATCACAGTGTCTGCCATATGGCCAGCAGCTTGCTGATACCCTTTGCTCCAGCTGTCTTGTGTAATGACAGCATTTGAGTCATTCTCATAAAAGCAGCTTTTCATATTGGCTAGTTACGTGTCATTATGACTTGCCAAGATAGCCTTCTTTGTTGTTGTTTAAGATTCAAACAATTGCCAGGGGCTACTTCTGATATCTGCTGAAGTAGAATAAAAGGCTTAATAAAAGTAGAATAAAAGCCTTTGACTGTTTAGGCTACAGATAAATGCATGCAAAATGAACAGAGGTGGTTGTTTGATTTCCTTTGAGTTTAGTTCTCTTCCATATGACTGACCAGAGTTATTCATGGTTTTCTGTACTTCTCTATAAGGAAAACTTCTCTATAGGGAAAATTCATTGCCTCAAACAGGTAAGTTGAATTAGAATTAGAGAAGCAACCAATAAACTAAAAAATAAATAAATAAATAAATAAATAGAAAATGCTTCAGTAACTATAGCAGCCTTTACAGCATTCACTTAAGCATTGGGATCAAGTTTAGACATCCAAAAAGTTTTCAGGTACTGAATTATATGGAGAGTTATGTTTTAAAAGCACGATCCTGTTTTATAAAATTAAATTATTGGAAGGTAGAATAATTACTTTGACATAAGCACAGAACTTGATTGTTTCATAACATCCAAGCAGCAGTGGAAAGTACCTTGTAATTATAATAAAGAATTAGTCAGAGGTTGTGTTTACTGTTCCCCCCAGTAGTTGCATCTAAGACACCAGTGGGATTATACTGATATATTTCTAGCTACTAATTCTTTCTGTGCACCACAGAAACACATTTAGAGGATATTTCGATGAGTTTACAAGCAGTTTACATTACCAGGAGAATTACCATGTAGAGATAAAAATGAAATGCATGTTAACTGTTACAAACCATTGTTTGTTTATTTACAACAAAAAGTGGAGAAAGATTTCAGGGTGAGAAGGCTGAAATAAAATTTTAAATTGCACTACCTACATTAATTTTCACACTGAAAGGAAAGTTTTGTTAGAAAGCATCAGAGCTTCAGCTCAGCTACATAAGCTTGTGTCTAGTTATAGCAAAAGGATGTAGTATCTTCAAATGCTCAAAAACTTCAAAAAAGCAACACTGGGGATGTGTGTGTAACATCTATTCAGTACTTCATATGCATTATAGTAATGAAATACGTTTATTATCGCATATGTACATACATGTATGTACATATACATTATGTCTTATAGTCATCATTAATTATATGATCACATCTCTCTTTCTCCCATTATTTTGAAAACTTGGAGATAAATTCTCCCCTCTTCGGTTCTGACATGTCTTGCCAGGGTGCAGCCTGCTGGAGGAAATCAGGAAATTCAACTGAAGTTCTATTTACCCACAGCATCCCTCAGATCATACATTCTCTGAAGAGCCTGTCTTTCAGGACTGAGTTCACCAAGTATTGGCTTCTGGCCACAAGCTGGAAACCAAAAGAATTCCAAAGACGAAGGACTGACAATAAATGAACCCTGCTAAAAAAATGAACTATTCAATACAGCAAATAAATTACAGTAATGCAGTACACACACACAAAGAATGTGAATTATCCTCTTTATGTTTTTAACAGAAAGAAGGACATCTTAGTACTGTGAGTGGATAAGATATAAAATAATAAACATCAGCCAGTGACTAGCATGCAGATAAGTCTCATCAAGTTTCAGATTGTAAATTGCAAAGAAACTGATATATCACCAGGGGCACTGGCACACTGTTGCAAAGTCTAGCCTGTTACCACAGAGACACTACATCAGTAATATTTTTTTATTACCTAATTTTCTTAGATGTAATTATAGAATTATAATAAATAGAGGTATGTAACTTTTCATCCTGTCTCCTGTGCTATAGTACAAGAGCCTGTTTGCTGTTTTATCAGTCACTGGCACAAGCTACTACTGCTGAATTTCACTATTTCTAGAGCTACTAGTACTTCCGCCCCCCCCTCCCTTCATGTTTCCTTCTCACCTAATGTAACAAATTATAAACAATCATCTTCTAACACCCTGAAACTGTCTAAAAGATCTTCAGGGGTCTACCAGCATTCCTATCCAGCTACATCTGTACACTATTTCTATTTCGGCTAAGAGCAATTTTTAATCTGTGCTTAACCAGCATAATGGCATACACATTTTTTTAACTGAAAACATTGCTTTCTTTTATTTAAAGAGTTAAAATCTAGAAGCATTTGATTAAATTTCATAGCTGAGAGAAAGATGACTATTGATAGCAACTGTGCAAATTCAGACAGGCTTTGACTACCGACTACTTTCAATTCACTAACTAACAGTGAAAACGCTATTTTTCAGTAGTCTTTTTATCCTCTGGCTGAGGAGATTAATGGTTACTAGGTTGTTTGTTTGTGGGGTTTGTTTGTTTTTTTTTTTCCTTTTTTGATATTATTGCTGGATGTTGTTTGTTTTTATGTGCTAGCATTTCTTCTGTTTGTTATTGTTTTACTGAAAACTTGAAGTAGGCTTCAAGATACAGAAGGCTGAAGTATTGTAATTTTCTGGCTGCATGGCAGATTCTAGAGGCTTTTCACCATCCTCTTCTGAATTGATTTTTAATTTTTTTTTCTTCTCACCCTCATAGGGATTATAACCAATATATTCTATTTATAAAAACACGATGATATACTTAAAAGCTAACTTACAAGCATCTTCCTATAGATAGGAGAATCATATTTTTAAGCATTTGAACAAGGATTTTGTTGTAATCCAGTTCTAATGAGTTACCCTAAGACATCCACCCAACAGTCATTCAATTTCATCATTTTGCCAGCCTCTGATACATCTCTTGTTCATCCTTTTGTTGGCTTCTTATGGGTCCCATAACACAGCGCCCTGGCACCAGCCCCACTCTTACTGAATCATGGAGACTATTCTCCTGTGTGTTTTTTTTTCAGGGCCAGTTAACTGAGATGTGCTATGCATATAGGACATTATACAGCACTGTCAGACTTCTATTACAGATGGTGTGTCACAGGTATATCCTCCCAGTGACGCAGGTGGAAAGAAAAAAAGGGAGTTGGTAATTATCTACCTATTGTCTACATACAGTATGTATTTCAACCTGAGTGGCAATAACTAATTGGCTGATGTCAGTGGTCTCCTTGCTGGAAAAATGTTCCTGTGCTATTATAAAGTGATATAGAGTAAAAAGATTTTCTGAAACTGTTACAGGATCTTTGAGGGAGAAACAACTCTGTAAGCAGTGGTGAGAAGTGACATTTCAAATTTAAGAAAATGAAAGGAGCATATACATGAATTTCTGCAGCATGAGTTAAAGAACTTGTGTGATTTAATATATGAGTACAGTATGCCCTTCTCTCAAGATTGTCAGCTGCAAGAATAAGGCAGCTATTAACATAGAGGAGACGAGCACCACAGAAAGGAAAGAGACCAAACCTTTGCAGCCTCCTAGGCTCTCTTAAGTTGCATCACAATTTTAATCAGCCAAAAGGAGAGAATGTGACTGCACAAGACACAGCAGAATGCACGCTCTGGAAAGAAAGGGTTCTGACAAGTGTCCATACATTTCCATGCACATATGTGCTTCATTGAAAACTTTTCTGTACAGATCACAGAATATAGTGCTGCCTGGGTACAACCCTCATTTCATCTTAAGGAACAAACACCATGGAATGAAGTTTATAGAAACTATGTAACAACATCAGTGTGGTGAAGTGCCAGTCATTGCTCCTCCTCTCTTTTTCCACTGATGTTTTCCTGTACACTTCCTATCAAAACCCTATCCCTCCCTTTACAAGGTTCTTAATTTCAGAAGATATATTTCCATGCTCCTACCACTCCATCAGGCTCCCTAAGCCACACATGGCATACCAGCATGGATGGGAGAGAGAAAAATCCAGGCATTAGAGAATATGTAGTGCCTGTTTTACACTATTGACATTTTAGTGGAGGGCAGCCTCAGAACACAAAGGGAAATGGGGCAGTTTAGCACAGCAGTGTCTTCACTCATTAACCTTCAGCCCAGGATTTCCATTTCTGATTGGGATACTATTTACCAGTTGTCAGATATGCTCACACAGCATAGAAGATTCTAGTTTACTCCTTTTACAGCGGACAAAGTACCTGCATACACAAGTTAATCAACAGTGAGCACAGGAAGGCTCATGGGACACTGTATTAGACACACTTCATTGTCAGTGGACAGTGCAGTGACTACCAGCTGCACAATAGACAAGAATGTATGCTGCTAGTCACCTCAAAAGCATGCTCCAATTCAAAACAAAACACCTGAAAGTATCACTAAGTTTTTAATTCACTCTTCATTGAAGACAGGTCAAGCAATAAATAAGTTCCATTACCACATTGTACATCTCATAATATGCATCAGCATGCTTTTCCTTACCTTTACTCCATTTTCCTGTACCTGTCTCTCTTAGTTTACTTGTCTCTTGCAGGTGTTTTCTCTTCCCCTGGAATGTGATACCGAGCTCTGTAGACATCATGTCTTGTTGCGATGAGCCATCTGGCTCTACTCCAGGAACACGATCTATAAGAAGGTTTTAAGAGTCCCATAAGACTCTCATATAAAAAAAACGCAGGCTTTGTCTTTGTGAAGCAGATGTCTGCGGAAAGATGGGCAGCAGTGCACAATGTTTTTTTGTTTTTTTTTTTTCCCCACCAATATATTTTTAACTGAAAGAGGTGCTACCTCATCCAGAAGTAGGGAATAGGGAAAGAAACCAGATCTCTATCAAGTTTTATAAATAGAAAGTCAGAGTCTTCATCACTATGCAGTTCAAATGTTATTCCAGGCAGTCCGTCAACTGTTCTAAGCAGCTACATATGCAAGGTACTGTACACTTGTTGACTACTCTGTGAGGCAAGGCATGTTGTGCTTATAGTGCCATATCAGTGAATGTGATCTGTTTGAAACTGTGCCACATGCACTGCCTCATCAGCGTTCATGGGCAGCCCCATTATGTGGGGTGTGTCAAACAGCAATTGTTCACATATCAGTGGGAAACCTGGTATGCATCTTTCTCATAAGCGAATATGTAGGTATTTGGTGGACATCCTGGAACACAACACTATTGTTCTGTTATTTCCATACAACCAACATGGGGTAAGTGGGTTGCTGTGACACAGTGAACCCTCCGGCTACTAAGTTTGTTACTCCTGAGAAAAATAAGGCTCTAAACCCATATCAGTGGGTATCATATATATCAGTGCCATAATAAATACTTAGCTATTGTGCTAAGGATATAAATTGTTCCATGCAAAGTAGTCTTAAGGTTTTGCCCTTGCATTTCACCTTGATTTGCCTTTAATTTTTTTTTTTTTTTTTGCCACTATATCTAAACACTACTCTCAGCTGTATCATGAACTGATACAGTCTAGGGCATCCATTTTATTGCAGAGTTAGAAGATGAAGTATTCTGCCAGGGGACAGTGACAAATTCAATATTTAACTGTCTACATGGCTATTCTTCCAATTGACTCAGTGATCATAGTTACAGGCTTTTGATAAATGTTATTTTCAACACTGTATTACTGACTAGTAAGAGAGACATCAGGATATAAACATTATTTCAGTAAACATGTGCCAGGAAGCATGACACGCATCCGTTCCAATCTGTATGTGATTTGTTCTATCAGGTGTCTAGTGAGACATTAATATTACAGCCAGTGAATGGCTACAGTAATTACTGTAATTTTGACACCCAGAGTTCTTCCAAATACGCAAGTACTCTGGCACATGGGATTGTAGCATGTTTCTACATGTACAGGGTACAGTAGTGGAAACATGATGCATGACCCCATTGTTACTGCAAGTGCCTCAAACTCATGATTTCCACTGGCAACTAATCACATGCAGACTCATAAGATCTGGTATTATAGCAGAGCTAGGTATCCAGTAGCTATAAAAATTTATCCTGGTTAAGTCTATAGCTGGATGTTATATTAATAGCTGATAAAGAGCTGGAAAAATAGCATATTTGCAGCTATTTTGGTGAAGAAAATAATCTGTCTCCTCCCCTTCACCTGGTTACAAATTGCACAGTATGATTGCCTGCCACCAACCCTTGCTGTTAAGAGACCTTGCTGCTAGTAAATGAGAAATATTACTGATATTGCACCAAGTAATTATCCAAGAATTTAATGCATGGTTAAAATGCTACTCTTTTATTCTAAGAGCTTTTTCCCCCACCCTTGTCATCATAATCATCTTGTTGTGCAATTCATGGAACAAAAGGATGAAACAGATCCTTAATTTTCATGTTTTCCACATCCTAGAATCATCTACAGTAATCTCACTATAACACTTTTTCAGTTGTGTTGTGCACTTAGAGATGAAAACTTTTTAATGTCAGATACTGTATTCATTCACTATGAATGTATAAAACATACCATTTCTGGACAGAATTTTTGTCTGTTGAGACTTATATTTTAAATTAGATGAGATCTTACTGGCTGTTTCCAAGATTAGTTTGCTTTTCCTAAATGTACAAGTGGAACAAGTGTCTTCAGCATTCCTCTCATTCTTAGAAAGTAATTGAATTTTGGAAGGCACCTCTTGAGGTCATCAAATCCAACTCGCAAAGCAGGGTCAAGTACAACATTATCCAGGGCTACATCCAGTTAGATTTAGAATGTATCAAGGATGGGAGGTCCCCAGGCGACCTGTTCCAGAGTTTGACTGCCTTCCACAGGAAAAGAGTTTCACATGCTTCAATTGAAATATCCATATATTGATTTGTGCCTTTTACTGAGCACTACTGAGAAGAGCCTACCTAACTCTGCATCTTCTACTCTGCTTCCTATCAGATGTTTATTCACAAACACCCACCCCTGCCTTCTTAAGGCTAATCACACCAGCTCTCTCACCTCTTCTCATACAACAGAAGTTCCACTCCCTTAATCATCTGTGTGTCCTGTCGTTGGACTCTCGCCTGTATGTTGGTGTCGTTGCTGTTCTGGAAAGCCCAGAACTGAACCCAGTGCTCCATGTATGCCTCATCAGTGCTGAGTAGATGTGAAGGGTTCTCTCTCTGTCTCTCTGTCTCTCTCTCTCTCTCTCCACCTGCTGGTAGTTCTCTTATGCAGCTTTAGTATGCTGTTGGCCTTCATCACCACAAGGATGCACTGCTGGCTCATATTGAATGTGCTGTCCAGTGGGACTCTATTTCCTTTAATGCAAGTTTTCCTTTCCCAGATGGTCCCAGAACATACAGAGGCCTGGAATTATTCATCCCTAGATGCAGCACTTGGCACTTACTTTTGATGAACTTCAAGGGACTCCTTTCTGACCATTTCTTTAGCCTGTTAAAGATCCCCTGATTTTATTATTATTTTTTTAATCAATAACTTCTTGTTTTAATCCATCCCTGCAGTTTTTTTTTTTTTTTTTTTTTTTTTTTTTTTTTTAAATCACCTGCAAACTTACATGGGCACCACTGGTAACCAGCCTCCAGCAGAAGGTTTTCAATGCTGATCACAACTCTTTAAGTGCAGCAGCTCAGGCAGCTTTCAGTCTACCTCCCTGACCACTAATCTAAGCCATACTTCTTCAGTTTGCCCATCATGATGTTATGGAACAATTGGTAAAAATGAAGATCAACAATATTATCTGCTCTTCTCTCATCCACCATGAAAGTGGTTTCTTCATAGAAGGCTGTCAGGTTAGCCAGGCACTGTTTCCCTTTCATAAATCAGTGCTAGCCATTCTAGAGTATTTTTGCCTCCTAGTGCATTTGCAAATTATTTCCAGGACTGCTGGTTGTACCCGGTTTCCAAGGATAAAGATGGGAATGATTAGCCTGTGTTTTATTCCAATCCTCCTTCTTACCTTTTTAGGGATAGAAATTACATTTGTTTCCTTCCAGTCCTCAAGAATCTTCCCCCAACATCTGTGACTTTCTAAAGATGTTGAATAGTGGTCTTGTAGTGACATCAGCTAGCTCCCTCAGCACTCATATTCTCAGACCCCAAAAACCTTTGTATGTCTAATCTGTTAAATGCTCCTTAACCTTATCATTTCAAGTGATAAAGAAATGAATTAGTACTAATTCCTAGACAAAGGTAACTCACAGGAAAAAAAAAAAAATAATAGTGAAGAGAAATTAAAAAATGGAAGTTCTGCTTTGACAGCTTTATGGATTTCCATGAGACAAGAGCTGTAAGGGCAGTTGCAGCAATTAGACAGATCAATACAATGGGAAAGGTACTGCAACAAAGATGCAACGACAAAAAAAGCCACCATGAGAGAAAGGTGCCATAAAGGAAGGAAAGAAAAAAGATCCCTCACCTGTATCAGAAAACACCAGGTTTGCAGGGGAAAGCTTCACCAAGGGGGAATCTCCTACTGGAGATCCTTCCCTGTGGCAGTCAGCCCTTAAATGAGGTCTAAGAGAGGTGCAGCCAGGCTCCACCCCTTCCTGTCACACAGCTGAACTGCCTTCACCTGTGCTCCCAGGGCTGACCGCTCCTTTCCCCAGGTGCTCAATCAGTTGTTCTTAGTGGACTTAACAGCTCCCGTACAGTAGCAAACTTCCATTATTAGACCAATTGGAGAGAAAAATAAGCAGAAAACTTTCTGTGGAATTATTAATAGCAAAATATAGTTTTATTTTCTGCTGAATCACAGATAAAACTTTGGGAGAAAGTAAAATCACTGTTTGTTACTAAAAAGCCTGGAGATTTCTTCAGTACGTTCTCTGTAGAAAATTCCAGTGCGTTTTAAGTACCTGAAGAGTTTACACAGGGATAGTATGATTTTCTGAGGATTTTGAAGGGCATGAGATTGATTCTATGCTCTCATTTTAAAATGTAATTACTGCTATGTGGTAAATTTACCTATAAATTATCAACTACCATATTCTGCAATTTTAATGCCATAAGCTTTAGAAATATATTCTGCACCAAGATGAGTGTAGAAGAAACTGACCTCATTACATATCAGGAAGAAGTCTCCCCTTGGGAGGGTGCAGTTGGTGCCTCCATTATTACTTGCTAGCTGGTGAGATCAGCAACCAGTATTTGGTAATTTGCTGAAACAGACCCTCGACTCGTGTTAGACAGGAAAATGAAGACCTTTGCTGTATGGAGATTTTGCAGTACAGTAGAAAACGCACCAGATAAACGTTACATATTCTTACAGCACTAAAAACAGAATTAGCACTTGCTCAAATTAAGAAAAAAAAAGTTCTAGTGGTAACCATCACAGGTGCAAAAATAAGGCTTCAAACAGCTCCTCTGCCAGGTGCTTTGGATGTACTAATTTAGGGGTTTGGTTGCACTGTTCGAATAGTTTTTCTGATTGCTGTGCTGGGGATGTTTTGCTGTTGTTTTTACTTTTTCTCATGGAACTAACTGATTCTTCTTTACTTCAGAATGATTGAAGTTAGCTCACGTGGGACTTGCAGGTAAGGGATGTTTTTGTTGCTTACTACAGCAAGTGTGAATGTTGTATTCCAGGAATATGTTAAAATTTCTGATTGCAGAGGGTGATATTAATATAATTATTGGCCACTTAAATGTATTAATTTGGAGTCTTTTGTACAAGTTAAATTTATAGGGGTTTTACATTTGCTTTTTCTATTTCCTTAAAAGTGGGTTTGATGTTATTTGTCTAGTTGCTATTTGTAAGTCAGAGAATGATGATGCTTTTTAATTCCAATTAATTTTGATGTGCTTCTGAATTATAGTCTTAAGACTTTTTTATAATCTGTAGTGCATTTGAGCTTGGAATAACACCTGGCTCTGAGGCCTTTAAATGAAGGAAAATGGGACTTCTAAAGCATGAAGATTTTGTTTATGATGGGATTTCTGCTGTTACATACTTGGAGCCTCTGATCCTGGAAGTCTTTCAATAGCTTTTCCATTCTTAACTCTTCTGTTCCAAAGCAAAAGTTGACTCTCAGTGTTTAAACACGTGATCCCTAATGGCTCCAGTCAAAAGCATAAAGACAGCATGATGCTTGTTTTGTCTTTTTAAAGCAAGAAATATCAACTTGTTATCAGTGCTTTGATTTTTTGGGGGCTGGCAATTTTGTGTGAGCTGGAATAATAATTGCATTCTGAAAACATGCCTTGGTTTTCATAATGTAGTCTGTAGCTCAGTTACAAATACACATGTCTGGTCTGAAAGCAAACAAATTCCTTCCATAAAGGAAAATATTTTGAAGGAAATAATTTGATTGCTTCTGTCCACGCCCTATTCTTCATTTAGCTGTTCTATGATAGAGACAGTGAAGTAACACTGGAGAACACCAGCAACACGATGAATTTGTTCCTCTGTGGATAAATAACCTGTGGGAAATTAGGAAGTGCTGGTAAAAAAACAAATATGTCTCATTTTCATTTCTCTTTTCCCTTCTTCCCATGTCCCGGAAAGTTTTGCTTTTATCACATGGTTTGCCTTCAGGTTTAGATCTCCAGTAAGGAATATCTCTTCTGCCCTCGAGGGGCTTCTGCTGTGTGGTTTGTCTGCTTTGGGGGAAGGTTGGTGGTCTCGTTTCATTGAAGGGAGAGAAAGATTTACCAGGCGGTGTATTGTCCCCTAAGAAAACGTTGCCTGTGTAATTCTAAAAATGGCAAGGAGTTTAACTTCTAACTGTGAGGAAATACTGCTTGAGGGAGTTAAGAAAGCAGATAGTGCTGTTAAGTTGGGTGATTTTTGTGGTGTTAAATTACTTGGCGTTGTAGGAATAACAAAATGTACAGGAGGAGAGGGGACGTGATAGTGAGAATACTAGATATGACATGTAGAAATGTAAAGCTGTATACAAACACACTGCTGCATTTTCTTTAAATAATAAAGTTTCTGCTGGTCAACCAGGTAGCAATTCTCAGCAATTCATGTTTCATTTTGTAATAGTGTGACTCAGCGGAAGCAGGCAGAACCTTAGAAATTTAGAGCAAGCTTTGTGAATGGGCATCACAGGACAAAGCACAAAGGCCTTTTAGTGTGAGAGATGACAGATTGTTCTCCCTGTCTGATTTTTATTCCTACAGGGTTTAGCATGAAGATGGGGGTGGAGGGGAAAGGAGGATGTGTACAATCTGATGTGTTAGGCAAGGAATTAAAGCATAGTGCTCGTGCTTTCAGGACATAGGGGACACGTAGGGGGGCATGAAGGGGGTGGAAGTGAACAAGAGGACTTCGGCAGCTGTGTTCCAGATGGGCCTGGGCACTATGTAAGAACAAAGCAAATTTAAGGGGAAGAACTTGGCAGTATTCTGTACCTAACATACAGGATTAAATATGGATGTGAAAGAGGGAAGGCAGTGTTTTGCAAAACAAGCATACTGACTGAATGCACAGGACCTGCAACAGCTTACTTTGAATCAGTAATGCCTCGTCTTACATTTAGGTGCTTATTGTTTGGCCAGCTCTGGTGTCTTTATTGGTCTTGCTCTTAAACACAGCGCTCAGGCCTGAAAAGTCCAACAAAATGGAGAAGTTTGGATTGATAACTGAGGTACTAGAAAGATGCAGGGGAAAAAAAATCCTATTTCTGAACCACCCGTGGAGCACAAATAAAGTGCTGAGGTGCTTTATTTTCAAGTGACTGGAAGAAGGTTAAGGACCGCGTTCCGCCCGGCTCGCGGTCCTCGGTGGGGGGAAGCTGCAGCGCTGCTCGAGGTGGGGCAGCCGCGCACGTGGCGCCGTGCTGCAGCCAGGTGGCGCCCTCGTCCCGCGCTGCAGCTGCCGACCCGAAGGGGCTGGGGGGCGCTGCCGGACGCCGCTCGCACTGCGCGGTTCAAGGTCGGGGCTGTGTAAACGGCCGCACAAAGGCTCCTTTCAGAGCCCGGCATGCCGCAGCCCGCACAATCCCCCATTCAGCCGCTGGTCCCGGCGGAGGAGCGGGGGGGTGCGAACCGGGCGTGCGCGACCCTCGATCCGAGAAAGCGGGGAAACACCGGGAGCCGCTTCGGATGGCTCTCGAAGAGGGGCTGGCGAAGGCGGAAGACGACCGCCACAAAGGCGGCTTTCTCTCGCGGCTCGGCCAGCCCCAGCGCTGTGCTGGCGGCACCGGGGAGGCACGCGCCGCCCGGCCGAGAGCGGCGCAAAGCAGCGCTGCGCTCTCGCGGATCCGCAGCCGCGCGCCCGGCTGTCCTCGCGTCCCCTCCGCGCCCCGCCCACCCGCCCGCTTTGCATACTAGCCGCCCAGCTCGGCTTCCACTGGCGGAGACGATCCCCGTCGGCGCCGCCGATTGGTGCCTCTCCCCTCAGCTCGTTTGCATGCGGCCGTGCGGGGCGCCCGGCGGAGGCGCGGCGGAGAAGTTGACTCGGAGCCGCCGCAAGTGTCCCGCCGAGCGGCTCGCGCGCAGCCCGCCTCGCGCCCGCTCCGGGGCCTCGCGAGCCGCCCTGTCCGCCGCCGCCCCTCCGTCCGCCGCCGCCAGCCGCTCTGGGACGGAAGATGGCCGAGCGCAGCCGGCCCGCGGCATGGAGGTAGCCGGCCCTCGGCGGAGCCGGCGTGCCGAGGGAGCTCCCGCCCGCTACGCCGCTGCTCGGCCGGCGGCTCCGGATCGCTGAGCGCAGGAGGGATCCGCTCCGGCCTCACCTTTCGCGCGCCTCGCGTTTGGCCCGCCCGACTTTCCTATGGCTGGGATATACAGCTCTACTCTGAAGACCCTGGAGGATCTGACTCTGGACTCTGGTTATGGGGCAGGGGATTCCTGCAGGTCCCTCAGCCTCTCCTCGTCCAAGTCCAACTCCCAAGCCTTCACCTCTTCTCAGCACAGGGGCAACTGGTGGTACTACTCGGGCTCCATGAACAGTAGGAATAACAGCTGGGATACGGTGAACACGGTGCTGCCGGAGGACCCCGAGGTCGCCGATATCTTTTCCAAGTGCCCGAGGCTGCCGGATCTGGAGGAGTACCCTTGGAGCGATGAAGACATCGGAAGAATACTCCGAAAGGCGAAGGGGGACGGGAGCGGCAGGCCCTTCTCCGTCGAGGCCGTCCGGCGGCTCTCCCAGCTGCTGAGACGCGCTCTGATCCGCGTCTCCAGGGAGGCCCAGCGCCTGAGCGTCATGCACTCCAAGTGCACCCGCTTCGAGGTGCAGAGCGCCGTCAAGCTCATCCAGAGCTGGGCGCTGGCCGAGAGCTGCGTGCTGGCCGCCGTCAGGGCGCTCTCCCTCTACAGCATGAGCGCCGGGGACGGGCTGAGGAAGGGCAAATCGGCCAGGTGCGGGCTGACCTTCTCGGTGGGGAGGTTCTTCAGGTGGATGGTGGACACCAGGATCTCGGTCAGGATCCACGAATACGCGGCCATCTCCTTGACCGCTTGCATGGAGAACCTGGTAGAAGAGATCAAGGGCAGGGTTCTGGCGAGTCAGAGCCCGGACGGCGGTGGAGGGGAGATCTCGGCTGAAATCC